TCTCTATGGTAAGTACATAAAACACCATGGAAACATTGACATCGGGCAAGTAGACCTGTTGTCAAAAGGTGTTAGGGCTCCTACTAATCTCCCTTCAGGGGGGAAAAAAAAAATCCTTCCTCCACACAAACTTGGCCACTAGATTAGTTACTCAGCTGCTTGGCAGCTCCTTATTGGAAATACTAGGAACAGAATACGGACCGTAATAAAGTTGACGAAAATTTGGCAAGTACTTCAGTAAGTCCTTGATTTCACTATAGGAAGAGTGTGGTTCAAAAAAGGAGCTTTGACATATGCCAGGGGTGCTCTTGTCATCACTGGGATGGAGGTTTAATTTTGTGTTTTTATTGATGGTAGGTAGAGAGTGCTTTCTGGCAGAGAAAATGAAGGCATGAATTTACCTTTAATATAGTTCTGTTGGCCTGATTTCTGCTAATAATGTACTTTTCACTAGTTCGGAAAAGGAGAAGAGATGCCCTTCTTCTGGTTGCAGAAGATCTGTTGGGGACTAAATGACACTGGAGTGCTTTTCATCTCTTGGAAATAACTTGCTGATTCTGCCCATTGCTTGCTTTTTGGAAAGTATTCTCCACTTGTGAATGCATTTGGAATTTTAAAAAAAAAAGGGATTGTTGCATGCTTGCAATGGAAGATTCAGAAATGTTCCCATCTGATAGCACCAGTACTACTCCCTAAATACTACTACGCTGCTGTCAGTTTTCATAAAATGTCTTACCCTTTCTGTGGGGATCAACTTGGCACTGGCTGCTTCTTCCCTTGTTCCCTTGCCCTGCACCAGTCAACACTTCTTTTTTTTTTTTATGCAGTTATGGCATAACTCTTCCCATTCCCCCCCTCACTTCTTTTTAAATACGTTCTGTAGTTAAAGAATAATAAGGTACAAGTTGTCATTTTTCTGAGAGAAAGGGAGCTTTGTGGATATTTATAACATGCCTAATGGCATTTCGGAGCCCCAAGGAAAAACAACGCAGCTTCAAATCTTCAGCTATGTCGGATGTGGCAGGCGGGCAGGGCTGCTGTTCTCGGGTCAGCAGGGGAGGATGTACTGAGAAGGGGATTTTTTCCAAGCTGTTACTTAACTGATATTAGCATTTGAAGGCACATAAGGCATGACCTTTAATCCTGTGTGTAGACTAACCGATCTGCTTGCTTGAATGCCTCATTGTAACGATGCAGAATGGAAAGGATTGCATCAGACCGGAGAAAGAAATCTTCTGTCACCAGAACTTGCATATTTAGGTGTGTGGCTGCATGACCCCATCCCACACGTAACATCTGCAAACTGAGCTTTCAGATGCACCTCCCCAATCTCTCCTCCGACTCCTGTCTGAAACCACATTCATCAGTGAGTTACCCTCCAAAGCACAAACCTTCCTGTATGAGCTGATGGATAGTAGCCCCAAACTGAGAAAGGACAGCCCTGACTTTTTGGTCTTTCCCTGAAGTGTTAGTGGTCCTAGTTACATGTGGACTTTTTGCCATTCACTTCCATAGCGATTCAAACAGTGGTGGTAAATTAGTTTTATGGGGCATTAGTGGAAGAGGTCGGTGGGTTTTATTACATTCACGTGAAAAATTGGAGCCAAGAATGTAAAATGAAAACTGAAGATGAAGAGTACCGGAAAGCAGAACAGGATTTGTGAATTGACCGAGTGTATATGTGATACTGTGTAAAGTCCCAAAGAGTCTTCAGTCTAAACTGGTAACATTCTTCAGAATAAGTTTTGAAGTTACAGCTGTTGCGAGAGGCTCTGAAGAGGTCAACCACGCAGGAGGGCTAGCTGAGAAATAATTCAAATAAGTGGGACAAACGCAGCAAAGCCACACTGCAATTTTTGTTGCAGCGAGTTTTCTTGTGATGTGTATTCATCATTCATCTGGTTTATGAGGTGGGCTTGCAGCATCAGCCTCGAGGAGAGGACTGAAGTTGTGGGATCTGATACATCAGAAAACCAGCTTGGAACTGCACTCCTCTTTGTTGAAGAGAGCACTTGGTCAGCCTGCAGGGGTGGTGGGGCTGTGTCCCAACGTGTTTGAAAGGATACCAGTACAAACACAAAATATTAATGCTGTGGTGTTCTCTAGTGGTGATTGACAGCTCCAGACACAGAGATGGCATGTTACTCTGCCAGCAGCCTGTGGAAAGCTGTTCTGACGTAGCCAACCCACTTGGCAGCAGAGCTGTGGCTGGCCCGCAGCGCCTGATGACTCAGTTAAGTCCTGGAGTTGTTATTGCAGTGGAAGAAGTCGTTCTGTTCTTTAATTCCTTTGTGCAGCCCATAGATCAGTTGGATGGTATCCTGCCAAGGCCTATAGTTAGTAGAAATTATAATGCGAAAGTCTTTTGGGGCTGGGTGAGTCGTGACTGTAGATTCTGCGTTGGAGCTAATGGCCTAGAAGGGTTTTCTTATGGCAAAAGAAAGTCTTACCAGCAGTTCAAAATATAGTCTACTTGATTATCGCTCAGCATAGCAGCTGGAGGCACTCTCTCACTGCTAGCTCACCCACGTGAGTAGCAGGACAGGTCACGACTGCATTCTTCTTTTTTTTCCCCCTTGGTGATTTATCATGTGCTTTTGTTACCCAAGAGACTAGATATCCAGAGCTGCGGTCTTCACATTTCTGTGGCACACTCATGCTAGGAGCCCATGTCTTCATCATTCTTTCTCATCTTCCTTCTGTCAGCCCATTGCTCATAAGTTTGTCTTCCTTAGGCATGGGTAGGGTTCATGTGCTGCTGTTTGGGAAAATGAGGTCTAAGCAGGAGCAGCAGTGGTTTTATTTTGCATCTGGTTAGGTTTTTGGTTGGACGCCATGATAAATGTGAGTTGAAGTCGTGCCAAAAATCTATGTGGAGGGTTAATGTCTATAAGATGGACAAATACGTAACTTGTGAGAGAGTCTGTTGTGCTCCAGGAGTTTGCACAAATGCATTTTTGCTTCAAAGAGATTGTGGTGGTTTCTCTTAATTATGTTTATGCCTAAGTAGAGTTTTGGGCAATTTTGAGACCTACAGAGTTGCTTGTCACTATTGGAAACTGAGCTTTGTTAGGGGAGGTAACAGTGTGGAGCCTGATTCCGAATCTCAATTTCTTCCTTGAATTCTCTCACCTGAAATTAAGGGAACAAAGGTGCATTTCTTTATTATTCAGAGCAGTAGGAGCCATGCAGTTCTCTTCTTTTTCTTGCTTAAAGGTATCAGATTGCCTGTTTCAAGTATTCTTCTGAATGATCATGGAAATCCTAATGCAACATGAGGTTGAATTAGGTACCGAAAGCCATCTTTCAGGTTAATTCTCTGGCTTCAGAAGTTGACATGTTCCTTTCAGCATGTAGGCAAAGTTGCTATTATATGCAGGAAAAGATCATGAAGATGTTGCAGCTTTTTTAATATGGTGGGATTTGGCATACTCAGGGTCTGCAAGGAGTGAAATCAGTTGGAGGAGTTAATTGCTTAACTTCTAATGCTCGTGTTCGAACCTGCACTCTTCCTTGTAGTTGGGAAGGTGCTGGGTGTTTGAGGATTCGCTGTCCTCTAGTGGTGAAGCTGGGTAGAAACTACAAGAAGCATCTGTGCTTGGCTCTGTGCAAGGTACTTGTGCTGAAAGGAAGCTGACATTACAAAACACTTTGGATTTGAATACTCCCTTTGCCTAATGGGCTCCTGAGATAGTCGAAAGATGTCCTGGACTGCTGCGCAGCAAGCCCCTGGCAATATTATGATTTTTTGCAGTGTCTGTTTTAGACCCCTTAGAGGTAGTTCGAAGACTTCAGGAATCTACAGTGTATACATTGAGAATGGCTGATTTTTAGATCAATGCAAGTAAAGTTGTATAAAACTAGAGTGTAGGATAACACCAAAACAATGTTACAAAGCAATGAGAACTTTATCTCAAAACTTCAGAAAGAGATTACTTCAAACTTTTTTCTAAGTTTGTGTAAATGGTGCTACCCACGGCTCTGTTGCATACATCCTTTTTTTTTTGTTATTCATATAGCATTTCTGTCTCCTGCAAAGAGATTTTTATAAGTTGAACTGCACACTTGAACTCCTGGGGCAGCCCTCTTTGCACCCAGACTTCTTATAGCACTGACAGCGTACCTTGCTGCTCAATGGCTTTCTCTGCTTTTAGGCTTGGCTGCTTGGCAGTGAAGTCTGTCTGTCTGCTGTGCTTGTTAGTGTGCTTTCCTTTCCTAGTCTTGGAGAAAACTTCTTAGTAATGAGGGGTACAATGTGAAATGTAGCTCAAGCCTGAGAGACTTAAGGGAAATCGATTTTAAAATAAATTTTAAAAGATCAGCACTGGAAGCCGAACAAGTTGGATTTTGTTTTGTTTGGCAGGGTTTTGTTGGGGGTTTTTTTGGGTTTTGTTTGAGTGTTTGTCACTATAGTGGCTGTGGCTAAATGAAAATGCTGGAAGATTCCTATTTGTCACAATTTAATCATAAAGCTTCCTTACCAAAAGATGCTAGTAAACCTCAATTAAATGCCCGTCCCTTTGAATTTTTCCCTTCCTCCTTCAAGCCTGCCCTCTTCAATCCCCATCTTCCTTCCTGTGTGTCTCTATCCTTAATCTCAAATAATCTAGTTTATTGAGATTTAGGGTACATTCGGGGCCCTACCTATTTAACCATGTTTTTGAGAAGGGAGTGGAGGGAAGATGAAGTTTGCGTGAGAGCTCTTGGACTTCTCTTTTGATTAGGTTTCAGTCTTTCACAAAGACATTTATATTCCTCTTGAGTATTGTCATTTCTGTAAATCGTGCTATAGATAAATAAGTATTCACAGTGTACCTTACTTAGCGTTCCACATGGGTGCATCCCAGAATTAGCATTTTTGTCTTTTTAATATGCTGAAACAGGCACTGCTAAGTACAGATTGCAGTTTTGGTTCGCATCTAGCTGCGGAACCACAAAAGCAAAGAAGGTGGTTAATGACGCATGCTAATGATTCTGGTGTTGTGGTTTGCTGTTCGCAGATGTGAAGGGACCACCTACACACAGACTGTCTTGCGGCCAGTCCCCCTACACTGAAACGACAACATGGGAGAGGAAATACTGCATCCTGACAGACAGCCAGCTGGTGCTGCTCAACAGGGAGAAAGAGGTGAGAGAAACTCCCGTTGGCCACTCGGGATTTACCTTTTGGCCTTTATTGGTAAAACAGGAAGGCAGCATTTTTCATCTCCCCTTTATTTTGTTCATGAGTTTCATGAAATGTGTGAAAGGGGGGAAGAGGGGAGCTAATCTATTCTGCCTGTGCATGGCATGGCGCTCATAGTTATAATCCAGTTAACCCAGACGCCGGTTGCATGGAAGAGGTGACAGCAAACCGTGTGCACCCAAAACTTCCTGCTGGAGTTTTAGAACCTGCATTTAAGTCTGCCACTATACCTTGCTGTATTATTGCTGCTTTTGATGGCAGTTAAAGCCACCACATCTATGCAAACCTACCTCCTCACATCAGTGCAGACAGAAAGGTAGGGAAAAAGTGCAGTAAAGGTTGTTGTTTTGTGTCTCTGTTGGAGTGCTGGGCAGAGAAGATGTGTGCAACCTTCACACTGCGCAGTCATCCTTACTGCAGTCACAAGGTAAACTGATTGAGGCAAAGGTTTGCCCTCTCTCTTGCTGAACACAACAAGGAAGATTTGGTGCCCCTTGGCATGGATACTCAAAGATATTGCAACCAGCTTTTGCTTTAATTATAAAATTACTCTCTGTGTGGTGTGTGTGTGTGTATATAGGATGTAGTACTTGGCATTGTGCCTGGCCATGAAGGTAATGTCAATATGGCTGAAGAACAGGCATGCGTTAGTTGATTGAAGCACTAAACAAACAAATGATGGTAAGTCCCTTCTCCTAGACTACGCCATGATATGTTTTTTTTCTTGTGATATTTGATGTCTACTGACTGTCATGAATACATGAGCTTTAGAAGCATTTGATAACGCTCCTGGGTTGGCTGGTTTGTTTAATTATTCTGCTGTAGATGTACCCTGTTTAAAAATAAATATTTCAGAAGGAGCTGTGAAATAGGAATGTTTTTGGATTACTGAAATAGATTTTATTACATATAAATGTCCATGAATTTGAGTCTAATACCATGGTTTCCTACATTTGGAGATGACCTGAATTTTGGGTTGGTTTTTTTTTTTCTCAATTCTTCTGAAGCTTCTGTGTGTGGCTGTGTACTGGCTGAGAATATAAGACCTGTTCCTGATGTAGCACTAAATATTATTCATCTTCAGCTATGACCAGGTTTATTTACAAGGGCTGAAATATTTCCTCACATAGGGAGAGTAGGAGGAAATGGTTTAGAGAAGGACTTGAGTTATTAGAAGGGAACAACATCAGTGCTAATGCGTAGGAGAGGTGATCAAATACAGGGAAAATGGAAGGCCCATATCATGATGCTTGTTTACTATGTAATTATTTTTCTAGTCTGACAGGACTGTCGCCTAAGGAATTAAAGCATATACTGAAGAAACTTAGGGACATGTGAGAATTATTCCTAAAACTGTACTGTACCAGCACAGTTGGGCTAAAAGGATGCATCTCATTAAAGAAGTGTAATTGAAAACAACACTGGTTCATATCACAAATAATTATCTGAAGGTGGTAATCATGCACTTATGGGTTCTTAATTTCTCTCACTACATACAATTAAAAGCATTTTGCTAGGAGTAAGACGAGTCTTTTGCTTAGATCCTGAGGAGTAAATATGGGAAGTCTGATGTATCGCTGCTGTATTAAGTCAATATATACTATTTTTAAATACACTCTGCTTTTTGTCAGAAACTGGAGGAATTCTGTATCAGGCTATATAGAGCCTGGGGTTTAAGTATAGCAGTTGCCCCCAAAAATTGAGCAGTAGAGTAAATCTTTGCAGTGTGCTCTTAAAGGAGCCTGCCCACACTATCACAAGAAGAAATAACTCAGTTTGGCAAATGCTGCATGCAGATGAACCAGGCAGACATGCCTTTGGTGCAGGTGTGACTCCCCATGCTGATAATGCATTTTGTTTCAGAAGCTAGTAGCTGGAGTCAGATTTGCCATTCTGATTTTAAAATAATTTGGGACTACTGTACGTGAAAGGAAAAAGGGAACTCCTTGCAGAGTCATGAGTACCCTGTCGGAAAATAAAAGCCTGCTTTAATCTAGCTTCTGAGTCTGTACACATGGCAACGTACATACAAGCCCTGAAAGAAACACAAAACATACAGGAGGAGAACTGCTAATTAGGAGAGACACAGAGCTGATACTCTGGGCTTGCACCTTCTTCTTGTTTTTCTGAAATACAAGTATCCCTTGTAGCTTTCATGAGAAAGGGGAGGCGACTCAGTTAAATTTTACTTGGCAAGTCATTCAGAGCTGAAAGAGGCTCTATGAAACGTGATCTAGAAGTAAGAGTGAACAAAGGCCTAAGGCAGCAATGGGGAGAGATGCTTGGGAAGACCATAATGATTGAAAAGTATGTAGGAGGGGAATTGAAAAAAGCCCATGGGGGGAACCACAGGTAAAAGGAGCCTAAGCAAAAGACCAGGTGAATGAGGAAGAGGGAGGTTACTTCAAGAAGAAAATTGATTATATTTAGAGTAAAAGTAATGGAAAGGTGAGCAGGTTTTTTGTTAACCCAAAATGAGGTGAGATAGGCAACGGGAAGCTGAAGATGGAGGGTTTCCTGCTCTGAACATGGGAATTGCTGATAGAGTGAGCAGGTCAGAATTTCTTTGGACTGCTGAAGAGGACCTTAGAAAGGATATGAGGGACAGAACAATACCCATCAGTAAGGGGGTTGGTGTGGGGGAAGAAGGAAGAGATGTTAACAGCAGAGTGCCCTTGCAGCTGAAAGGGAGCACTTGCATCATCTCAAGGATGGTGTAATTTGAAAGCTGTAAGTCTGAAGCATCTCATTTTAGTCTCTGTGCATCTGCTTTGTTACTTCATGGAATAAAAATCCAAGAAGCTTAGCCCATGTGAAATTGAAAAGGAACAGGAAGGTTTGATGTTTATAATACTTTGTAAAATCATTATGCAAGTATGTATGTCAAAGCCAAAAAGTAGGAAAATGTACACAAAATGCAAACAGGTAAATGAAAGACGTCTTAATTTTTTCAGGTACGATGTTAAGGTTGGTTTCTTTCTGTTAATGCTGTTAAAATATGTCATCATGAATTGCATAGATTTTTAAGACTGAGGGAATAGTACAGAAATAAACAGAGTAGTAAGAAAACTCTTTTCTTACAACGTCCCACCACCACTGTGGATTTACTGTCTATCGTCAAGGCAGTTTGGATAGAGTATGTGCAAGAGAGATTTTGTGCTGCGCAAGCACAAGAGTAGGTTGGAAATCAGAGAAATGTTGAGGTTCAACTTGATCCAAAAATATCTGTAATTACGTAGACAAAAATAGTCTGATGGTATTGCCTTGTGCAGTGTAGAAAAATATTAATTACTTGACACCTTGTCAGCTTTATAAAATGAAAATAGGTGAGACTGAAGAATATAGATTATTAATGAAGGGAAGAGATTGATGCCCAAAAAGTAATAGGAAAAAAATGAATCCCTGTAGAGACAGGAGAGACGACTTAGCAAATAAGGAGTCATGAGTGACAGGAGATGTGCGATTACTACAACATATCACGGTGTGGCAATATCTAGCAGCATTTTCCAAAACTGGAACAGGTCCAGATTGATTCACTTATAAATCAGGTATTTTTTCTACGAGGAAGACTGTTTCCCACTGTCAGGAAGGTGTAGATATTTTCATAATTTGTGAAACCTGTTCCATAGGGTAAGAGCTGTGAGGGCACAGTAAAAGTGTCTGCAAATCAGTGCATTTTAAAAAGGGAAAGAAAAAAAGATAATCCATTGTACAGCACTTCCATGAGGGGTGTGGCAAATGGTTGCATGTGGTTTTGGGCTGCTTTTTAGTTAGTCTTTGTAACTTGGCTGCTGTCCTCCAGACTCTTTTAATTTTGTGTTCAGTTGGAAATGAAGATGAAGAACACTTTTCACTGTTAGACTCTTCTTTTTTCCTCCCTGCACCCAGAACTTCATCTTTCTCCTTGGATTTAGAGGTGTTTTTAATCAAGGGGAAAGGATAGTATAGGCCTACATTCACTGTGACAAGATCTACTACTACTTGTGCCGGTGACAGAGGCCAGCAGCAGGACATCTCTGATGTATTTTCCTACTCTTCCATCTCCTGTGACTGACACCAGTAGTGGAGCGACAGCAGTGCTCACAAGAGCAAACACTGATGCATTGGGTCCCAGGGGAGGTTCTTCAGAAATGCCCTCTGCCATTCTCAAAGGACTTGTCACAGTGGTATCTTACAGCAAGTATGTTTTACCTGTAAATAGGAGTTTGTCAAAGCTGAACCCAGTCATAAGAAAAGATTTGATTCGATTCCCAAATTAATATAATTATTTTCCAAAAGCCCAAAGAAATGTTTGTTGTCCACATTTTTAAAGTGGATTTCTGTTTCAAAATTTCAGCTAGCTTATAACTTTCTGGAGGAAGGTAAAAATTAAAATGAATTATTTAACTGTTTTGTTGACATGATTCCAAAATTCCTCACTATTAGTTCAAAAGAGGTTGCAAGTTCTCAAGATTTTGTCTTCCTGATCTTGAAAAATCTATCTGCAATGAAAAAACTTTTTTCTACTTTTTTTTTTAAGAACCTAGCTTGGTTTGCCTTGAAAGAGGCATTAAATGCTTGAAAAGCTCTTACTCCTATTTTTTCTGAAATCTCTTCTTCTTCAAACTACTAAAAATCCCAAATACAGGCTTTTTATGCTTAAAAAGCATGTTCAGTGGCTCGTGATGCTGTTCAAGAGTTTGAGTCTGAGCTCGGAACCTGTGCTCCTTAAACTGTGAAATTTGCCAGTGAAACGTGGCACAAAATCAAATTTGTCAAGAATGCCAAATTTATTAGTATTTGGACTGTACCTACGTACCTTCTTGTCCCAGAGTTACACTGCTCAGCCCTGAACCAGCAGCTTCAGCACCTCATTTCAGGGTCAGACGATTCCCAGGTTAGTGAAGTCTCAGCAGGGCAAAGAACAGGATAACAAAGCTGGATGGAAGAAAAAGAGCTGAAAGCCTAAATTGCCATTCGAGTCGTGACTCTGCAAGACTTTATAATTCTCTTCCATCCTTTGCTGAACTGCTTGCTGGAATGGCAGGGGCTGGAGGAGGGTTGGGAAGATTGTGGATGTCTGGCTTGGTGCTTACGTGGTATTTAGCTGTGCCCTTGCTTGTTTCAGTGCCACCCCATCTGTGAATCTGTTTTGACCTACCACAGAGCCATTTATATACCTGTTTAAAAACATGTCCAGCCCCAAGAGATGCAGAGCTGCTGACCAAGCTCGTTTTGCATGGTCAGGAAGCTGTATCTTTAAGAGCAGGCTGATCTTATGCTAAGCAATAAATACTGGTCCCGCAGACTTGGAGTTAGCTCTTTTTTGTCAGTGTAGGCCTAGAAAGACAGCACAGCGCTTTAAAGTCAGACTTAAGGGTGGATCTTTTTTAGCTACTTTGCTACTTCAGTCTTGTCCATGAAATTGTGGGATGTTTGTATATTCTCTGGTGTAGATCAAGCTATGTAGCATTAAAATCTTATTCTTTATACAGTTTACAGAATTACTGAGTGAAATAAACAGTATCATTTTTTTTCTCAAGCCACTATAAATACGGTAACAAAAGCAGTTTCTTTGCTGGTGTGGACTGTACTGCACCAGATGAACGTAGCTATACCAATGAACCTTTTTTAGTGTGCAGCCTAACCATGTTTTCCTTGTCTGGGCAAATGTTAAGTACAAAGGGCTAAGTGACCCAGAATTAGGACCTGAGCTCTCAGTCAGTCTTCCTGTTAATGGCTCAGTTCCTCTTTGAAGATAAATCCTATCTCTGGTATGCAGAAACAGATTTGTTTTTGACACCAACTCCGGTGTGCTGCCTGTTTGCTTTTCCCAAGGACACAAAGGACAGCGTGGACTCAATCACCATTCTCCTCCTCACCCTCGGCAGCGAGTCAGTACATCCATAGCATCCTCCTGGCTATCGTCGCTGTTCTTGTATATGCTGTTATCAGGGGGGTAGTAGTGCTTTTTTTCATGTCAGTGGATTAAAACAATGTTTCTGTCATCCATGTGCGGAAGCACACATGGATACTGAAGAGGGACTATATTAATTTCTCGGTTAAAAAAAAAAATCTAATAGTGGAGAAATCGGCCCCGCAGAAGCTGTATTGGTACAGAGCTAGCTTTTAGGTATAGGCGCAACAAGTTCACTGAGAAAGGAGGAGCACAGGGGTGGTAGCTCAACGCTTTTAAGGTGTGCTGAAGCAGGTTTGTAGTATGACTGGTAATAGCTGTTCTGGCAATAGGCCTTGCATCATCCCACCAAAAAAATGCTCTGAAGGAAACTGGGAGAGGCAGGAGAGGTGGTGGAGCAGAAGAGCATTTAGAAGGGTGTAAGACTAAATGGAGCCTCCAGATGAAAACTGAAAATCTAATATGTGATCTTGAATGAATGAATGTGGCATAAACTAACAAAATTAGCCTCTGCTTAACTTCCTAATGTGTTCTTGCATGGAGATTGTTTGGCAAAGGAGCTGCTGTAAAAATCTACCAGCAAAGAAAGTAGTCTTAACAGAACAACCACTAGGGATTTGGGAAACTAGTTTTGAAAAATGAGTGCTGTTTGAAGGAGACAAATAGACTAGCGTAGTAATAAATAGCATTAAAAAATGACCTTAAGAGAATGCTAGGTGCTTAAAAGTCAGGAAATGCCAGAACTAGTTTGTGAGAGCCATTGTAGTGTAGCCTGTTTCTAAAATAGTACAGTATCTTGTACATCTTTTACAACCTTCAGTACAAATGAATAATATCTTTTTGTTTGCTATTAATACTCGGTTTTCAGAGATGATTGAAGATATGAAAGGATAAGCAGCACAGGAAATATGACAGGGGCTTCTATTCCTTTAGCTGCAAGCTGTCTTTTATGTAGCTATATGAAAATAAATTGCCATATTGCATGTATCACAGCTGTACTGTTGAAGCCAATGTCCTCATCAGAAGTGCACTGAAATGTTTGGGGCCCTGAGGGGTTGTGCCTGCCTCCAGCCCCTGGATGCTGCCTCTCTGCCTCATCCCCAGGGTTTCTTCCAACTGTTGAATATAAGCACTTAATGCAGCCCCACAAAGTTACAGGTTCCATATATGGCAACAGACATTCAGACCAACAGCTTTAGGATAAACAGTTCATCTCTAAATAACATTGCAGTAACAAACATGGATCACGAGTACGATTATCTGGGTTGTTACAACAAGAGATGCAGTAACTCAGTAGCACAGTTATCCAGGTCGAAATGCCAGCAAATCCAGTAATTCACCAATACTGAGCTAAACTTAATATCTGAGTATGCAAAGACCTACAAAACCATGGTCAGAACCATGATTATCAGGCAGACCAGCAGGAAGCAAGGCATGGCTTCCTCAGATGAGCGACTCGGGCCAGCTGACGGACTCGGGGAATTCGCAGTTCCCCGATTGGGGTGTCTTCTCGTTGAGACATGGAACCGCTATCTGGACTTACTAATCAACCATCACATCCCACCTCTGGCCCCGCTCTGTGCCAGTCCTTTGGGGTGCATGGGACCCAGAAATACCAATAAGGCACCACTTGGCCCTAGGTGCCCACCCCTTGGTAGTGACTCAGCCAAGGAAACAGTGGTTACCATGGGCCAAGCCCCTGTCTGGCTTGGTTCTGGACATACATTTTTCCCATGCAGTCCCCATCTTTGGTGACCAGCCTTTTACCAGCCTAAAGGATCTTTGGTGTCTTTTGTCTTTTGAACTTCTTCAGAAGAATGCGTATGTTCTTCAGAAGGGTAGAGTGAAGGATGTCTTCCTCCTGCTGGAAGCAATGTCTTCCTGCTGCTGGAAGGATGTCTTTTGTGGGCTGGGGCTCTCTGGATTGTACCTCTGGCGAGCAGGTAGCTGTCTGAAGTTTTTGTCTGTCTGCCTTTCTATATGCAAAGTAACTGATGCTTGAATTAATCCACGCTGATCATGTAAACAAAATCAGGGTGCACAAAGGGGTGTGTATAAATTTATAAAGTAGTTGGATTCTCTTCCTTTCCTCCAAATCCCTTTGTATGTTTTTTTGGATTGGATTAGGAGCACATCAGGCTTGTTTCTTGTTCCCAGACATACGTGCTGTTGGACAAAGAGACTGTATCAGGCTCTTTTAGAGCTCTTGGCTGTTGTCTAAATGCCCTGCACCTATAGGGATAGGTAGCACAATTTACCACTTTTTTCCAACATAACAACCACTCTAGCAAAATGCAGTTGTCCAGGCAGGTGTTTTAAAGGCAAAGTTAGGAGGGGCGCAAACCCTGAGGTGTCAAGTTCTGCCAAAATTTCAGAAGAGAAACAAGATCTTTATACATTCAGTACTTTTAAAGAGAATTAGCGTACAGAATTTTATTACTATGAAACAGTGAGGAGCCCAAGCCTTTCTTAGAGCTTTCTGAGGTCCCACTTTTAGGATGAGTTCGACTTAATCATAGAAGTTCTCCCCTTTCTCCATGTGCCCAATACAACCAGCCAACTGTCCGTTCTCCTCTGACGTGCTGCAGCTGATCGCTGGATACGTGCTGAGACTGCAAAAATGCTTTTGTAATCTCGAAGTTTCGCATGTAGCCATCTGATCAGCCTGACTCTCCCGGCGTGGAAGCAGGCAAGGCTGGATGGCAATGTGTCCGGCACTCGGGAAGCAGTTTCGAAAGGCAGGACTGCCACGTTAGTCAGAAGGGTCGGCTGTGTTGTGACTTGATACCTCTGGAGCGCAGGTTGCTGCGCACCTGCATGCAGCCCTCTCCGGGCTGCGCACCCGTCTGCATGCACCAAGGCTGCTTACTGCTGCAGTGCCTTCCCAGTGAGCCTCAGGAATTTCGTGGTAAGGCCGGGCATGGCGAACTGTGCCTGAAAGTTATTACCAGATGAGTAGAAAATTAATTTCTTATCAAGACGGCACATTAACAGCGTGGCCCGTGGCAAATTAACAGCTGTCTGCATCCTTTTTGTGCAGGTGCCTATCGATGGGGTCCAGGAGCCACAGGCGGATGCTACCAAAGGGCGCTGCCTGCGCCGGACGGTGAGCGTCCCCTCCGAGGGCCAATTCCCCGAGTACCCGCCAGAGGGGGCCACCAAACTAGGTAAGTCGAAGCCTTGGCTGCCACAAATTGATTTTAATTTATAGCTGCAAGCTGTATCAGAGGGCACTGCTTGCCGGGCAGCATCCTTGGGAAGGAGCCTGCTGAGGTGGGTAGCGTCGCAGCTAGGTGGTGGGGGAGGTCGTGCGACTGTGGCGTTGTTTGTAAATGCCTGCTAGCAAAATGACTTCTAAACACCAGGATTTATCCAAACATCAGTGAGGTTATTATGGGGTACCAGAGAAGCTGGGCTGTTGCTGCACATGGGAAGGTTTGTAGCTGTGTTTGTGAGTTTACTAGACAGACCTGGGATTTACGACTGAAGATCAATAGGAATGCAGCTTTTGCAGATAGCTGTAAGTGGTTCCTGCTGGTTTTTAGAACTGTTACGTGGTTATGTTTTACCTCACTGTGAGTCTCTCTGGAATTTCCTTTGCTGGATAACAGGTTTTTCTATGACTTACCTCATGCCTGTTCAGGGTGCAGTTCCTAAAAGAACTAGTCAACTGCCTGCTGCTGTTGGCTATAATTATACATGTTGAAATCTAGGGAAAGCAGAAGAAAGGGCAGGTATTAAAAATGACAGACAAAAGCTCTGTTGCAGTAGTTTCCCAAGTCCAGATTTGGCCCGGTTCCCCTTCTTTATTCTATCCCACCTGTGGTTGCATAAAGAGCATCATTCCAACGCTTTCTGGAAGAAAGTAAGAGTGAAAGGAGGCAGCAACCACACACAAGTGTGAGCTCTTCTTTCTATTCCCAAACTATGCAAGAAGCTTTCCTTGGCATAAGCTGATCAGATCTAGGAGCAATTCTTCCTTAGTTCAGCTGTAAAAAATATCAGTCCTGGGAGAGAGTGAGGAAAAATGTAACATGCATCTCTGAAAAGTAAAGCTGCCTTGATAACATCATTATCAAAGGTGAAGAGCAGGTAAGGTATTTCTCATTGCATAGGCTCAGCTGGTTTTTATGCCAAAGGATTTTATTCTGCAAGTATATTTATTGCACACAAGTAATTAAAATCCCACTCTTTCAGATAGTTAATTAATACATTGCAACTGTGGCACTTATTTATTTGTACTTGGCTGTAGCACCGCTTAACTCTTCCTTATTTGAGGAAGGCAGATAGGGTGGTTCTTTTGCATTTGTTTGATTGCTGGATTAGAAGTCTGAAAAGAAACAGGGCAGGTTGGGGATTTAGGAGGGAAACCTGTAAAATACTTGGCAATGAGTGACACATAACACAGCCCCTATTGGATTTGTTTGTGGCATTTCCAACGCAGCTCTAAATGATCATCTTGTTTTGCCAGATGAAGAAATACTCATTGTTCAGTGTTAAACATGTTTACACAGTGTTATAGGCAAAGTACTTACTCCAGGTATGTGGCTAGTGAGATGAATGAAGAACCAACCATATTGCAGCTGCTCTGCTCTAGGCAATGAATATTATTTGCAGCTTTGCAAGCTAGAAAGACCTTTAAAATCTAGGATTCGAATCCCTTCTTTTTCTATACCGTGTGCAAAAAATGTGTAGAAGAATTTCTAGACTTCACTGAGCATCTGAATAGCTGGAAATCCCAGTGTTAGATGACTGTGTTATTTGTGTTTATGCATTAGGATGTATTTTGCTACAATTTTAGATGCATGTGATGTCTTGTAGTGTGCTACTTGATGTATGCCTGACAAGAATATATTAAAAGTACAAGAGAAACTCATATCAATGTATCTTCTCCATATGAGAGCTGCAACTGTAGTGAATACAGTCGTCACAAAGTGTGTAGCTAAAGGAAATGGGCACGCAGTGCAGGGGAGAAGAAGAAAGGCATGAGCTGGAGAAAAACTGAGCAATGCTCATACTGTGAGGAAGGATGAGGGTAAGTAGGAGGGAAGGTTACATATAATCTCTGATTGCAGCACCCTAGGTAGTTCCCGCGTTTTTACAGCCTGGTTAGAAATGTCTCTTATCGTGATTACAGAATTCCTGCTAATGGAAAAAAGTGGGTTGATAGAGAGCAGTGGGAATAGTTTTGTGTCAAGATGTTGAGTGAGAGGACAAAACAGTGAAGGAAACCATTGAACAACTTCATAAAGAGAAAGAAGTGGATGGTGGCAGCCAGAATATATCACCAGCAGGTACAGGTAACAACTAGACTAAAATAGCTTTGGAATGGACGCCAAAAGCTGTGAAGCACAGTAGAGGCAGCTAAAATGTCTAGTAGAGAAATTGCTATGTAGAGCTGATAAGAATATCTAGCTTGTCCTAGGGAATCACGTGCATAACATGGCAACAGCAGGCATTGCATCTTATGATGGTATCTGAAATTACCACTTGCAGATGAGCTCCTTAGGGCTGGCTGTAATGTAAAGATTAAGGCAAAGCGATGGCATTTGCTTTTTTCCCCTAAGGTTGCCATGCTATTCTTGTGATTGATTGAGTTTTAAAAAAAAAAGGGGGGGGAGGAGGAGGAATCAGGTGATAGAACTCTTTCTCATCTGTAGCGCTACAGTTACACCTTGTACAAAATGTCAAGAGTATCATATGAGGTGAGTGTTTTTGTTAAGGGAGCAACTGGAACAGTGCGTGTTCTTCAGGGCCTCTGTATAATCAGCAGTAGTACCAATTCTGCAAATTTTTTTGGCATTCTTTATAGCATTGTGCACGCATCCTACGAAGTGTAGGAGAGAGAAACTACCCAAGTTACAGCTGAGAAATCGAAGCAAGAGATGTGTAACTCACCAGAGGTCAACATTAAGTCAAGTGTGCTTTACCCAAGGGCTGCTGTAGTCATTCTGGCTGTCTCTTTCATTTTTACCCTTGCTGCAGGGTTGGCTC